TGGACAGAAGTCCGACGACCTCTTTCAAACACCTATCTGTGCCCCTATGATTAGTTCCGCAATCCGACCGGATCAGCTCTGCAAACAGCGACGCTACACGAAGCTGCCCAGACAAATTTTGTGCCAGCAGTTGCTTCAGTGCAGAGCGCACCCACAAATTCCACATGAACGTCGTCTGTGGAGAGCCGAACGAAACGCACAGATAGTCCCTAGTATGAATTTTCAACAAGTAGGCCTAGCCAGGCCACCCACCATATTATCATTTACTAAAATAGTGCGGCAGCTGATTTCAATCTGATAATCTCCAAAACTAGCTAGCCTGTTAGACAAGTAGTCCTATGCTCATATTTCAACTAATTTTTCAAAAGCATCAATGTTCAACTACACAATCAATTCAACCAAATTAATCACCGATGCGCATAGGTCAACTTGCAAATTAAACAAAACAATAACGTAAGGGACAGCCCTACTTCTTCGCAAAGCAAAATGATTAAACACTATCATAAACATATACATAATTTTTCAAATAGCGCGCCATTCAATTTCAAATGAATTCAAATTTTCCTTTCAGCAAACAGACGCAACAATCAAATACAGTGATTAAATATATGTACAAAACACATGCAGTAGCATTTAAAGGAGTAGATTAAATTAAATTCTTTTAATTTAAACCGCTACAAATAGGAAAATTTCGCGGAAAGCCCAAAGCAGTTTTTAATTTTAATTCAAGTATTTTTTGACTAAGTGCTCGACCAAACCAAATCTAATACCCCTTGACAGCGTGATTCAACGCTCCAGGGGGGCCCTAATCTTCCCACCAAAAGGGGAGGCCACATGGCGTGAACCCGAGATCAATAGAGCACAACCGCTAACAGTCGCCACTCGGGTTGTACGCCTTCACTGAGGCCGTCGGCAACAGAACATTTTGACAAGTGGACTGTTGACGGCTTAAGGCTCAGTGGAGGCGGCCGTGGTGGGAGCTAAGGCGGCAGCTAGCCAGGTCCGCCTCCATCAAATGGGGAACAGTGGTACACCAGTCGCGGCCACTCAGCTAACGGGAGTGAGAAGGGTCCAGCGGACCGATGAGTGGCCGTGAAGTTCCTCTCCACACGCTGAGGGGGGGTGATGACACCCCCGCCCCTGGGGGAATTACCCCCCGACTGGTCGGGGGAGGGGCCCCTTTCAAACTTAGGGGCCTGGTGGCTGGCCGGCGGGCGCCGATTGTCGCCCGGCAGAGGGCGTGGCTGAGCGCCCCCGCCCGTGGGGGTCGAGGGCCTGGCAGAGCCCCGAGAGGAGACGCCGTTCGCACCCAGGCACAAAATTGCATGGTGATTGCCCTAGCAATGCAGACAGGGCCGTCGATGCGGACAGTCTCGCTGGAGGTGCCCTCCCAGACATGAACAGCACCAGCGGCGCTCCTTGGCGATAGTTCGCCTCGCCGAAACCGGCTTACCTAATAATTTCGGGCACGACGTTACCCGATGATCAGACGCTCGACAATTGTAGCAGGGGGGGTTGACGACGACTTGCCTGGAGGATTCAGCCTCTCACTGGGCACGGCTCGTAAGTCGTCAACGGTGCCTTCCACGTTCTCTATCTGCCGGCACTGCTCCTCCAAAAACCTCAGCAGGTCATAGAAGGGCGGAATATAGGAGGCCTCGTCCCCGCCGTACCTCTCCTCAAAATGGATTCGAAGGTCGAGAGGTAGACGGGACAGCACGATGCGGAGCAACAAAAAAGCCCATTCGCCCACTGGTAAATCCAGCCGCCTCAACGTATCACAGGCCACCAAGACTGGATCCAACAGGTCCGGACGCAGTCTGGCCCGGTCACTAAGCAGCGGGAGGCTTAGAAGCTGCTTAACATGTTCGTCCGCAATTCGCCGGACGTTGGCGTATCTTCTGGCTAGGAGGTCCCGCGCAGTCTGATAGGCGTCGTCCGACAATCTCAAGTGGCCGACGACGCCCAGGGCCTCCCCCTCCAGTGAGGCCAGGAGGTACGCCATCTTTTGGCTCGGGGTCAGGTCACTCCGGGCGTCCACTAGGCTGTCGAAAAGACCAACGAAGGTCAGCCATTCGGAAAGGACCCCGGAGAACTTTGGCAGGTCCAGAGTTGGGGGCCGTCCCAACAGCTCAGGCTGCAGCTGCTTCCGAGAGGACTCGGGTAGGCCACTCATCCGAGCTTCACGCGCCTCCTCGGCATACCTGCCTTCAACCTCGATCAACTCGTCCGTGAGCCAAAGGAACTGCTCATAGTCCGCGAAGCAGGAGTCCAGGACTCCCTTCTCCACATCCGAATCCTCGAGCTCAGCGTAAGCCTCCTCCATTGCGGCCCTTCGAACATCCACCTGCTCGAACCGCTTCATCAAGTTATGGATCATATCCGGTCGACCTATCAAAGAATGGGCGCTTATGGCCCAGCGCAACTCAGTCCGCAGACAACGGATCAGTAGCTTGGGCGATGACATCACTACTAAATACAAATTACGACGCGGCTCGAGCACAAATTACAAAGATAACAAATAAAAAATACAACAAAAATTAACAGTTAATAAATGCAGTTCCTATCAAATCGCGTTGAATAGAAATTACACAAATACGAATTACTACGTATCAACCAAATACAAGTTAGCACAAAAGAAAAGACACAAATCAAATTAACAAATAACAAATACTAGTGCGATCAAATCAAGTTAAATTCAAATGGCGCAAATACAAATTACTACTCTTTAGTTCAAATACAAATTACAGTATAAACGAAGATACACATCACGGTCGATCAACAAAAAATGCCTAGCTCGGAAATCGACCCTTCGATAAGTAATCCACTACAACTATCCGACAACGATAATTAACCGATTACGTAAAAATAACCATCCACCTACATGACGTATATCTCTAGAAAAACTCCCGCTTGCGCAACCTAGGGCGCGGCTTTTCAAACTATCCACTAACCAAAAAAAAGGCAAGCAACAAACGGAAATAATTCTATTATTACGTACAAAAAAAATATTTTTACGTATTACAGACGGGCGTGATTGTAGACACAATTTAAACCAATCAAACCAACGCTCCCTGCCACCAGAATTATTTAATTTTTATCAAACACTATGGTCGGGATTGACCGGGGAATCGAACCCGGAACCACGCTCCAGTTTATTGTAATGTGCTGATCATAATGGGAGAAAATAAATAACCAATTTGTTATTATATTATTATTGTACACGCCCCTAGCTGCCCCAACCAAGGCTGACGGGATTAGGACCCATGAGTAATCCCATCGACGAGCAGCAGAGGGACGGGGCCAGAATATGGCCACGTGGAATCTCTCTAATTACACTAAAATATATGGGGGAGCGTTCTATACTACGGCCAGTCGACCGGGAGGAATTTGAACGTAGCTTACTTACCTATATCCAAGGCGACTGGTCCCTTCCGAGTCGGTCAGGTCGCATGTGGTTGTGTAGTGCAAGGGAAATAAAGTGATGTGATGTGTATCTGGGTGTGACTGATGGTGATTGAACCTAGACCTTGACCGTCGGCAGCAGCCCGAGCGTCGACACTGCTCCAACTTGAGGGGGCTTTCCGAGGTTGACCGTATATTTACTGGCCGCGCCGAATTATTTCGAGTTCCCGACAAAATGACAGCGTGCTGTTCCAAGCACAGCTGACAGACGACTCCTTCGCCTTTACGCTCGCGACCCGTGCGCCACTTGCCACGCTCGGCCGAACTTCAAACCGGTATCGCCCAGAGCCGCGCGCCCCCTAGACGTCGATACCGACAACCAGTATTTGGCGCGAACAATTATTATCGATATGGAACGGGATATAATTTGTCCGTAATATGGCAAATAGCAAATGAATTCTATAAAGACAAAGATGCTCGTCAATAATAAATAACTGTGAACTGATTCACAGCTCGCGTCATGCTTATTTATTTGCACGAAACAAGCCTGCGCAGCCACGACGTAGCAGTGCTCTTGAATTTTGAAGGAACTGACATGCGTGTTCGTACTCGTTCGAATCCCCTTAAAGATTTGTATATTATAAGAAGTCATCTCATTTAGAAAGTTTCTTTATACATATGATAAACTCACGCTGCAGTCACATTGTTGTTGATCATATTCATGTTGTTGTAACACGAATAGTTCGGCTCGACCGGGGAGCACGCTCTCACTGAATACTAGCGTAAAATAGCAGCTTAATGCTACTGTTTCATATGGTGGTTGTTGTGTAGAGAACCGGAGAACCTATTTACTGGAAACTAGAATTTAGTACTTAGGGGCACAGAATAAATAATAGTACTACAGAAGTTGCACTCTTTTGATGTTGACTGCTTGGCGGCGTTTTAATTGCCTACATAGTAATTATTAATCAGATAAATCGCGCACGCAAGCTATATAAAACTTCACCACCACACATCTTGGGCCACAGCATCCACTTACCATCAGGTGGACTTTGTAATCGTTTGTCACCCTATACTATAAAAAATATATTAGTTTCTAAATATCGATAATTAATGTTAAATTTGAAATTGACTCAACCTTTCATTCCATATCCATATTAGTTATTGATAGTAGTATAAGTGCAAGGGCTGATTTATCATTTATTCGGCGATGAAGAAAAACATTTGGAGGAAATGTGTGTGTAGCAAAATTAAAAGTATTTCACAAACATATGAATTCCTTAATGCCCACTGGAGCAGCGCATCGGATTCTACTTATTATAAGTTTTCAAAATCGAAGTTGCCGCTGGTGTAAACAATGTGCATAAAAATACCATATTAATTTACTTCTAGAATTAGAAATGTTAGCCCTTTCGGTTCTACAAACTATATGATATGCCTATTTTACTGCAGCTTATTGATCCATTAGGCCAGGTATCACCAAATAGTTACAATGGGGATCCGTTTAAAAAAATAAATCTGTCGCGCTCCGTTTGCTAGATGATGACTAACAACCGAGATTTAAAAAGTCGATTAACAAATTAAACGAAAGAAATCAAAATATTATTTTATTAAGTATACATCTTATTAAAAAAATAACAAAGTAATCAAAGTAAAGTAACTCATTAATAAGCCAAATAATTTAAAATTAAAAATTTTGTACAACCGGCTTTAATATTAATTATTAAGAATGACGCATAAACTATCGGTCAGACCTTGATCAAATTTATATAGGATCACATGAGCACTAGCTTTCAAATAAAAAATAAAAAAATCGGAAATCGGTTCACCCAGAAAAAATGTTATGAGGTACAAAAAAAAAGATAAAAGCATGCAGTCGAATTTAGTACCTCCTTTTTGAAGTCTGTAGAAAATGGCATTTTTTAATCTGAACAATCTGTCTGAAGTCGGATATTAAGTTAGTGCAAGCTATGCCATAAAATCCTGGAGATAGTCACAGGCAAGACGAGATGGAAATTTATTTTTGATGAAGTTCATCTTGCAAAACGCTGCTTTGTAAATATATGTTGATCCTAACATTGTACAAATTTTCGAAGTCAATTTTTTAGTTCTGGGTATTTATTACTATACATCGATTTTATCTAAAATTCTTTGCAAAGAACTTCCGAATTTTCGTGTTTTAAAACAGAAGAAAATTGAATTACCACAAATTTTTTACAATTATATTTTTAGATTCTTCTGGGTCCGTAAAAAATAGCTCGGCGTGGCGGTCCGGACCGCGGTCCGCCATTTGATGACCGCTGCATTAGGCTATATCGATTCCTCTGATTCTACTGTGAATTTTATCGTTATGGATTATATAAGGGTCTGAGTATAGTCTAGTCATCCAGTTTGCTTGAACTTTCTCCTATGGCGGAAGAAAAGGACCATATCTCAGTTCCACGGTCATCACAGGCACATGCAATTTTGCTAATATTTATTTTCTGATATTTTTTGTTTCAGGTTTGCAAGACTAGACTCCCTACAAATGATATGCAGATTTGTTATACGGAAAACAGTTGCAACAAACGTATGGGAAAAGTTACCATTACCACCAAGCCTTATATCTTACGTATCTTTGGGAAGTGATTACATAGTTCCATCATAGTCAGTGACTCAAATATATCGTGCCTTAAGACTTTCGATATTTTCTAGGTCCTTATACCATATCCATATCCTATTATTATCAACTGTTTATAGAATTTATACAGCGAGAAAATAATGAAAAAATTAGGGTAACAAATTTGTACTGTGATTAATGTTATTGTTCGTAACCTTGGAATATTCTAATGAAAATAAATAAATAAAACAATATAAACTAAAACTGTTTATTTAACAAAAAAGAATAGGTACTGTCTTGTTGTAATCAATTTGAATCTTCGATTTTACTTCAGAGTGTTTAGCCCCAGCATATTTTTGGCCTAAAAATATAAATTTTTATTATTATTATTGGAATCACAATAGTATAATAACTATAATAACACTGAATATCTAGTTGGAATATCAAAATCTAATTGTGGGAAAAAAGATTATTGTGATATAACATACCGTTACAAATGCAGCGGATAAAGTTTGTGGAGCTACTGATACAGGGTTCATGTTGAGTGCTGTCTGGATCAATTCTGCATCTCTTATTCGAGATTTTACAAAGTTCCTTGTAGCAGTACTGTCTTGACTACTGTCAGTTAGGTAAAACAATTCTGACGCTTTATATATACCAGCAAGTCCCACTCGTCGAATGTACCAGTTGAACTATAGGAAAAAGTTTATTTTAGCATTATCAGTAATGATTATACGATAATTATGAACAATGCTTTTTAACTGCAAGCAAAGTAGAAAATTCATTAATTTAAGTCAAAGAATATTGTGTTGCAGGGGTGCGCAGTTTGGTAATGGGTAACTTATAAATATGTATTCTTAATTGAACTGTAAACCACACATTTTAACTACGTGTCAATTAATTATTTATTTTATCGTGGTACTAAGCTAATGTAATTTTGCCTGTATAGCTCATTTCTCATAGGTAACGCGACTGACATTGAAACCCTATTTGTTTTGCAAAAGATTGCCGTACGGGCGATTTATAAATTAAATTGTAAAGAGTCCCTAGACTAGAGAAAATTTTAAAGAAATAAACTTATTAACTTTGGCAAAGATATATATTTATGTAAATCTATTTCTAAAATATCGGTTGAGTGAACGATAGGTTGCGTCACTCTAGGGGAGCGTCATTTCATAACGTCATAACATAGTTGGAATTGAGGGTATATCGAGAAACCCCCCACTCGTTTGTACAGTATAAGGTTCAGCGTAGATGCCGAGCCCGAACGCAGATTCCGCTTGTCATTCTACGAGTGCAGTCATTCTTTTTTTTATAGGATAGGGTGACAAACGAGCACACAGTCTACCTGATGGTAAGTGGTTACTGTGACCCATAGACATCTAAATCTATTCTCAATAAAGACTCAAGATGCAGATGCGTTGTCACCCGTGAGGACTAAGATGGAATGCCTCTTTGCCAGTAAAAAGGATCTCCTCATACGAACACAGCAGCGTTAAGCTGCTATTTTACGCTGGTTTTCTGTGAGAGCGTGGTCCTTCCCCAGTCGAGCCGACCCATTCGTGCTACAACTATACTACTAATATAGCTGCAGCATGGCTCTACCACGTAAAAAGTATCGTGGTTCCGTCCGTTGTGGTGATTCTTCAGGTGTAGGTAAGAAAGATGGTGTTGCTGAGAAGTTGCTCTGTGTTACACTAAGATGTGTAGTGTTGCTGTTGGTTTGCATGCATATAGTGTGTAAAATTCTGACGGGGGGACATATTACGGTATGGTCGAACTGCAATTGCTCTATACTGAATGTATAATGCGTCAAGCTGTCTTAATACTGATAATGATTAATTGCGAAAGCAAGAGAGCAAGTTGATCATCCGCTCTCACACTTACTATTTTTAACAATTAACGCTATCCAGATGTAATTCCAACATGTACATTAAAACATGAATAGCTTTGAAAGAATAAAGACGTTAACTCTAGGAACAAACATTAGCTTGTAATGCCAGTTACTCGACTCCACATAATTAGTAACTCATTTATGGGGCAATGCTTACATTCCGCATACTTATAATCAAAAGCGTATACTTATATAAGCTTTTACGTCAAATGCCAAAAAATGTTTAAAGCTTATCAATAAACAACTTTAAGTTTTATTAAAGAAAAATTGTACAAAAAGGGTTATTATAATATTAAGGAATACATGAATGAAAATAACCCATGGGAATGAGGTAGTCGCCACTATGCTGGTTCTGTTAAAATTCATATAAAAATTGTACAAAATTATTGTAAAGATATATATTATGTTTAAGAAGATATAATTCCCAATGGGTTTTTTTTGCTGGTTCTTCCTAGAACAATGTATTTTCCAAATAAAAAATAAAAATAAACTTTCCATATGTATTAAATAATAATCAATCTTCTCAATATATAAATGTTAATGTTTGTTTGATCGTATTTTATGCGCTGCCATACCGTTCATCAGATTGCGGTAAAACTGTCAACTTATCGCTTGCACTTGCGCTAAGATATATAGGCATAGTGCAATTAAGTTATAATAGGTGGCGCGCTTATAGCACTGATAAATTTATTTGATTGTTATATATCATGTAACTTAATTGAATGTATTATCTATCGTTCCTAATTAAACAGTAGAACTCTTCCAAATTTATATAATTAGTACTGTATACAAATAATTGTATTCTATTTATGTCTGAAATGAAAATCTTCTGCTTTGTCAGCCAGTAAAAAAATACATTGCTGAACATGAACGTCTCTTTAGTGAGGAGGATTTTCTCCAGTAATCACCAAACAAAGAGTTCAATTTTCAAAATGATTACATGATTTGGCGGCAAATTGAAAATTGTCTGTGTCACGTCAGCATGAATTTAACGCGAAACATTATTCGTACAATGATTTTTTATGACTTTCGATGTCATTTAAGTCAACAAGAAAGTTATGATAGACTTTGATTGGCCTTTCACGATGAAGCCCCATCTCGTGCCACTGTTTACAACTGGTTTAATGAGTTTAAACGTGGTTGCACTAATCTCACCGATGATCTGCGTGAGGAACGGTCTTCTACGGCGACTAATGAAGATAACATCAGTGTTGTGCGGCGTATGATAGAGATTGACAAAAGAGTGACTTATCAGTAGATTCGGACAAGCTTAGGCATCGGTATGAATCAAGTGCACAAAATCTTCCATGAATATTTAGCGGCCAGGAGGGTTTGTGCTCAGTGGATACCTCATAATTTGATAGAGGCCCAAAACTCCGTCGTGTCGATTGGTGTCGTGAAATGGTCCAAAAGATTTAACGGATGTGTCTCAAATGCTGTGTTCGACATACTTACGGGTGACGAAAGCTGGATTTATTGTTATGATCCTGAAACTAAGAGACTGCTGTCTGGGTGTTTCTTTCCGAGGAGTTGCCAACTAAAGTGAAGAGAGGTCGAAGCGGGGAAAAAAGATGGTGGCCTCGTTCTTCGGATGGACAGGTCATTACGCAACAATTGTTTTAGAGAATTGAAAAACAGTTACTGCAGAGCGGTACACTGACAATTGTTTGCCACTTGTCTTGGAAAAAGTTCGGGAGAAACGACTTCGCAGTAGGATCCTCCTTCACCACCACAACGCCTCATCGCACACCGCCAAGCAAACAATCGACTACTTGGCGATGTCAGACGTGGAATTACTGGGTCACTCGCCCTATAGCCCCGACATCGCACCTTGCGATTTTTATTGATGTCCAAAAATAAAAGAAAAACTTCGAGGAAAACGTTTTATGGACGCCGAGGAAGCAGTGGCTGCGTTTCAAAATGCCGTCGAAGAGACCTCTAAGGACGAGTGGGCAAAGTGCTTATCTCAGTGGTTCCATCGGATGCAGCGATGTATTGATGTAAATGGACACTATTTTGTAAAGATATAATAAAAATAATAACTTGCTAGTTTGTTCAGTTTTTGATTTTGTAAGATATATATATATATAGATACGTGGTAGAGCCATGATGCAGCTATATTAGTAGTATAGTTGTAGCACGAATGGGTCAGCTCGACCGGGGAAGGACCACGCTCTCACAGAATACCAGCGTAAAATAACAGCTTAATGCTGCTGTGTTTCGTATGGTGAGTGTAGAGAACCGGAGACCCTTTTTACTGGAAATGAGGCATTCTATCTTAGTCCTCACGGGTGACAACGCATCTGCATTTTGATTTGCAAACGAGGACAGATGTAGATGTCTATGGGCCACAGCAACCACTTACCATCAGGTGGACTGTGTGCTCGTTTGTCACCCTATCCTATAAAAAAATAAGAAGTTTCAGTGTCACCCTCGTACTCCTTTTATTAAAAAATGTTTGCAGAATAACCACATAGGCAAATGAAGAAACGTATATCACCTGTAAAAGATGTTGTTTATTCGTATTGTATGAGATAGATCGAACTTACGTCAACACTACGATCGCCTGAATGATAACAAATGTCGTCCACGAGGGAAAGTAACGTGGCTAAGCTATTTGGTACATTATTAGGAAGTGTCTGTATTGCCATCGCTTTAGGCCACGTACTCCTAAAACAAAGCATAATTTAATATTGTAATAATTTATGTTAACAAAGTGTGTAGCTACAAGAACATCTTAATTGATAAACGCAATAATGCGTATAGTTTGGGTCTTAGTACATGGTTACCAGGCTCAAAATAAACTAATTTCTAGGCTGGTAAGTAGTTAGTCCAAACGGTGCACGGCAATACTGCTAACGGCATAACTGATAATATAGCTGCATATGACCACACCATTTTGAGAGTTGGCACTATAACCATCCCATTTAGTCCCGAATAGTCAAAGCATACTCCACACATACATATTATATGCAATATAATATCACGAAACAATACAACTTGGATCCTGGGTACCCAAAATTGTGTTTAAGAGAAAAACATTTTGGTTGAATGTGATGACTACCTCTCAGCATGATAATAACTTCAGAACTATTTTTCCATGTGGTGATGGTGAAGTGTATAGAGAGATAATACTTACATGATGGGATAGACCGCCGCATCATATGGTGCTTTACATATAATATTATTAAAAAAAGCCTACTCTTTTTTAAAAGGCCGGCAACGCATTTGCAATTCCCTGCCGTTGCAGTTGTTCATGGGCGGAGGTAGTCGCTTACTATCAGGTGAGCTGCATGCTCGTTTGCCCACTCCCCTATAAAAAAATGTACTTAGAATAGTATCTTTCTTTTTTGAAGTCATAACTTCAGAATCGTTATGATTTGAAACTCGACGAAACGAAAAAGAGACAAACATATACTCCTATATATAGGATTTAGCCTGCAAGAGAATGAGATAAAGATATAAAGTATTAGTAAGTGTTTTATATTATTTCGGTCTCTTTATGCCTAAAGATGGTTAATATTACTTTTAACTGTTAAAATAAACAAAAAATTAACAAATTTATTAAATAAATAAAATTAACGATATTGAATAAAATTATCATATCCAATCCATTGATAACAATCCACTATTTCATAACTTACCGATTTATATTAAATTAGTCGTGTTTGGACCATATAACATCTATTTCAAGTCAAATAGTTTAAATAATATATAAGTTTAGTTTTCTGAAGGTTCCACTTCTACTTCTACCGCGTGTGACCTGCCTGCCCACTTCTTTATTTTTATTTTTAAACGAACACTTTTCCTATACTTGGCCGTTAAAAATATTATTGCTAAAGTGAAGTCCTTGAAGAGCCGTGGTAGATGCTTTTTTACATTAAAATGATTTTTTTATGTTAATCACTATTTTGCTTATTTTAAACTGGTTCAAAATTATTTTCTAATTTTTAGTTCGGTTCGGATCTACTAAAGTGTGTGTTTTAGTTTTTTTAAACTATTATTTATTAAATATAAGTGCTAATTTACCACAAGCTCAGTGGTGAAGGAAATCATCTGAGGAATAATATATTTCAAGGATATGAATCATCCATCACGAAATGGGAGTGTCGCGGCGAAGTAATCGTTCCATAGACAATCTCCGCTTCTTAGACGTGGGTAATTATTACCAATACGGTAGTAGTGCTTAGATAAGTATAAGTAAGGGTAGAGAAAGCCAGTATAACTACAGGCTGTAAGGCATCTAATGCATCAAACATACATATTCATAAACTGCCACTCCTGTTACCCAGAGGTAGCCAGAGGCTAGGGACTTCCATTTGGTATCACGTCCGTATCTCAATGAAACAAGTTCTCACTCTATCATTCGTGTCAGCCCTAGCATAATTCTTAATGACCACAATTCTACAGCATTAATTATACTTTCATCCTTCTGCCACTCCAAATTTCACTACCATATTTTTTTTTATAAGATAAGGGTGACAAGCGAGCACACAGTCCACCTGATGGTAAGTGGTTGCTGCGGCCCATAGACATCTACATCTATCCTCGTTTGAGAATCAAAATCCAGATGCGTTGTCACCCGTGAGGACTAAGATGGAATGCCTCATTTCCAGTAAAAAGGGCCTCCGGCCACCTGCACTCACCAAGCGAAACGCAGAGGTAAACCTCTACTTCACGCTGGTATTCTGTGAGGTCGTGGTACCACCCCGGTTCGAGCCGGCCCATCCGTGCGACAGCAAAAGCCGCCGCGTGGCTCTACCACTGTTAAAAATAAATATATTAATAGAATGAAGAGTCCCATTTAATGTTACGCATTCAATGCTGTACAGGCTATGAGGTGTTGCATCTTAGTCCTGAGAGTTGACAACGCATCTGTAAACTCCTTTTTTGAAGGTTGGTGCAGGTGTCCATGGACTGAGGTAGCCAATATCATCAGGGAGAAAGTATGTATGCCACCTCAGTATAATTTACAAAATAGTATTTATAAAATAAGCATTTTATAGAGGATTATAAATAGTTCCAAAACAGATTATGGTCTTGTTAAGTCATTCACTGGGGCCCTAAACTGGGTTACAAGTGATTGTCTAATGGTTTAGGGTATGGATGGGACTGTGAATTAAAGGGTTGTAGGTTCAAATGTACCATTCAATTATTATCATTGTGACCAATTTTCTAGGGTGTCTTAGTTCAAGTTAATGGAAATATTAGTATTTTTAATTTTAAAAAAAACCCAATATCTTTCAGAAAAACAAGTCATGCATGTATCTTGATTGATCCTTATGCTTTAGTGCTTACATATAAGTAACTACAAATAACTATTATAAAATCTTTTCCATGTACTACTTACTTATAAGGTTGAATCATTAAAAGCCTTGTCATAATTGCATTTTCGATAAGCTGAACTGGTAATTTTGACTCCTTTAATCCTTCTTTAGGCCACTGTATAAAAATAAGTTTTAATATAATAAAATTCAAAACAAGGCAAACAAGTTACTAATATAATATATGTAACGTATACCAAACTTACAGATTTAATTTGCTCCACCAACTGTTCATTACATTTAACATTGAAATAATGGACTAGATCACCACCACCATTTGGAAATAGGCCATGTGTGATGCCTGGGTAACCAGCAGCTTCAGCACCTTGGCTTAGTGACTCTATAGACCAGCCAGTCTTAGGGACAAACTCTAGAGCCTTTGCTAATATATGTTCTTTTACATTTTCTTCATATTGGTGGTCATCTTGATCAGATGATATAGTGGATACCACCATTTCTTTCTGTTGTTTTTCATTGTTTTTACAATAACTCCTTATAACTCTTTGAGTATTATTTAATGGAACAAATGACAAAGGCAGTATGAATCTATGGTTTTTCCGCAGAGCTGTCAACAAAACAAGAAATTGTTTTATGTAGATCTTATTGTGATGGAGTAAAATGGTATCTATATTTATTTTCATTAATATGTTTATGAGTAAAAATAAACAATAATGAACAAAACAGTTTATTAAAATATTTGTTGTGTACTGAATATTAACACTTAATTTTTGTAAGATTAATGCATTCTGATAATCTAGCTGAGAGGCCTTCAATTAAATGAAAAGCATTTAAAGCTGAATGTATTATTTCTTTCTTGTTTTCCATTGGTATTTTATCCAAAACATTGCCCCCAATATTAATGGACACATTAATATGCTCATCAGATTTAGACTTGCTTTCTTCTATATCTTTTAATTTTACTTCATAGTGTGCCTTAGACATATTTAAACCAGTCCTCAATTTCTCTAAATATTCAGTTTCAATGTAAGTTAGATTTTCCCTTATTCCAGTCTGGTTTGTGGTATCTTTTAGAACAAGGTATCTTAAAAAGTTCAATGCTGTGATTATTTGATCAGCCAATTCTACTAAATCGGATTCTGCGCCATGTGGTAGATAACAAATTTTTTTTATCATGTCCATTAATTGTGCACCAGTAAAACACTCATCTAGCACTGGATTTTTAAAAGATTCATTAATGGAATTCTTGTATAAAGTAATGGCATAGCCTATCATGCCAGAATGGTTTGCAATTTCTAATAAACATTTAATGAGCATACATCTTCCCTTGTATTCAAATTTATTTATATGTATACCAATCAAATTTACTGCAGTTTTACGAATCCCTTCATAATCTGAATATATTGCAACTTTGACTAAACCTTTTACTAGATCAATGTGTACTGGTAATGACAGGAACACATATGAAGCATTAGTTGGGAAACGATTTAAAAGAGATTTACACAAAGATAAAGCTTTAGTGAGAGGACCATATTCTGTATAGTTTAACAAATAATTTACAGTAAGAAGTGTAGTGTGAACAATGTATTCGTTAGAGTAAACTTGTGGTATTGCAGTATCCATAATTTGAAAATGATCAGAGAATATAGTATAAAACAATCCAGAAAGTGAAGTCATATTGATTTTTTCCCTATGATCATAAGGTGAAATATCTTCTTCTGAATCTTTTCTCAATTTAGATGTTTCCCTTTCTCTACTACACACTTCAACATATGTTAAAAATTTAATCACATTTTTTTCTAACACACAAATATCTTCAATTATTGTAGCACATAACTGTCTTGCTTCACTTTGAGCATTGGAATCGGGATCCAAATCAATGTATATCATTGGTTTTCCTAAAAGACTGATTAGAAACGAACAAATAATTTCTTTTGTTTTTACAATATTGTCTTCCTTATTTAACTCTTCAATAAATGGTTTATAAAAAGGTGGTATCATTGAGTAAACTTTTACAATTCTTCTCATATTATTATCACAATCTATCAATAAGCGCTCCACTCCTTCTAATTTGTAATTAGGTATGGGGATTGTTTCTAAGTAAGTGGTGATAGAATTGAGACACCATTCTAAAGATCGTCCACGTTTAAGATGTAATTTCTTTAACAGCAATTGCAATGGAATCAAAATTATACTAAACTGAGAATCATTTTTTGCAACTTCTAATTGTTCAATAAACTCTAATAGTGCTTCTTCAGGTGTTGCTTTTTCTACAATAATTTTTAGTAATTCTTCACAGGCACCATGCAAGGATGGTTTTATGATAATAGTATCATCTTGTATTTTGCTTGTAATTATTGATATTAAATCCCAACAGTTATCTTTAAAGCTTTGTTCAAATTTCTCTTCATATGGTATACTTAGGGCTTCTTTATATTTTCCAGAATCCAATAATGATGAAATTAAATCCACAATATCATTGTGGTGGTCCATGCTGAATTAATCAGAGTTTGTTTATGTCCAATGAACTCTGAAAATTATTTCTTCAAATTTAGAATATTCACGCTATATAATTTCATTGTAATTATAATTACTACTTCCATGTTCCAAAGCTAAGTAGCAGAAATCATTTGAATGAAAGATTGAAGCATCATATTCTTCTTTTATATTCAGATTTCTTGAGGATTTTGGAATGTGTTTAGCTAATATAAACCTATAACAATATAATAAAAATACCAAAACAAGTATATTATTTTTGATTCTGATGACTAATAAAATATGTAATACAACTAAATGCCCGAAATAATTAAAAAATTTCACTTAACCCTAAGATTACATTACAAATGTACGTGAAGTTTAGATTATTGTTAATAACTAATAATCAATAATAATTGTATGTGTGATAGTATGCCAACAATAACTTTACCCTTACCTACTTTATTCTTAACACAAGTGACAGAATTGAAGTGGTATTTCCAAAAGTACAGAGTGAATTTACATACAAGTAAATTTCAACATTATTCTACAATATGAATACGAAGGAACATGGAAGTACAATATTGAGAATACATAATAAGTCTCAACTTACAACAAAAAGCTCGTGGCAACTTATTCATTGTGGAACTGCAATATCTTATGATAAATAATTGCTATGATATAACAACTATAATAAATATTAATATGGTTTTGATGGAATTTAATTAAAAGCGGATATTTATTTTAGATTTATTTAACCTACCAAAGTTATTATATTAGCAATAGCTTGCTACATATATATTTTTTTATCTATGAATAGCATTGTCATTTGTCGTTAATCATTATCAAACACAGACACAGACAAGTGATGGGCAGTGTGACCATCTTTAAAATTCAGATCCTGCCTTACTTTGGTTAAAAACCTGCCAAATCCTGCCAAAGTCTGTAGTGAAAAATGCCTAAATACTGCCAACTTTATTTAGCCTTGTATTAAACTAATGTCCAAATATTCAAACGCTACTGAATTTTAAGATGCCATAAAGTCTCGTGCTGTCTCTATCACTTTAAATCAAAGTGACTGTGACACCACGAGACTTAAAGACATCTTAAAATTCAGTAGCATTTGAGTATTTGGCCATAAGAAAAGTAAAAATACGAATATAAATGCTATATATTTTTAAATTAAAGTATATCTTTCCTTGGTTTGAATGCAATGCAATCGCCATGCTCACCGCTGCCTTGATTAAGGTACAAGATAGACGCTAAATGGTTGTTTATAAATCTGTTTCGTGTTTTTGTCTTAATTAAATTTATTTGCGAGAATATTCTTTCGCGTGTTGAATCCACAATCCACTCATATTTTTTGACGTTTACCATTAGCGGCATGCTCCTTTAAAGTGAACAGCCGGAATGCCAATTTGCAGTTACAGTCTGGATCATTTTTAGCTTTGGAGATCCATGATGAAAATAAAAGATTTTGCTCCCACTTCCCTCTATACGCACTTTCATATTTTCGCTTCATCACCGCCACTTATAATTACTATCGTCCACGAAATATTACTATCAAGATGTTATCACCATGAAATCTAATGCGATACCACACTAAAGTACGTCTCTTTTATGACTGATTGAAACATTAACCTACTCGTATTAACTCGTTTTAAGATTATCAACTTTATACAAAAAAGTTTTTAAAGTTTAGGTATTATTGAATGTATACAAACAAAATACGAGAAATCGAGAAATACAAGGAAATCCCCAACATGTTGGCGAAGTATCTAGGGATGAAATTTTCGACATTTTAAGTTGCCATAATGAAATTTATTTTTAATACCCCAATACTGCCAAATACTGCCAGGTTTTATAAAACGTCAACCAATCATCCCAGAGGCTAAAATAATAGGCCAATCCTGCCAAAATGGCAGGAACCTGCCACATATGGCCACACTGGTGATGGGACTCCAGTGACTCCAGTCGTGTTTCACCCGACACATTCGAGTATAATATTTATGACAAATCGGATTACGAGTGACTCGAGTCAACTCGAATGACTCGCACCGCTCGAGTGGCCTGTACCGACTCAAGTGAAAAATTCAAGTTGGGACAAGTTTAGACGATATATATTCCATTTCAAATAAAGTACAATTTTTTTTGAGTCAGTTGTTTGTTTTTAGTAATATGTTTATTTAAGACTGTTTGCTATTAGTATATCTTTGTAGTGAGTGATAGTTCCAAAAAAACTATAGAGACCACACTATAGCTTTTATGGAACATTTTTACGATAGAAATATGGAACAAAAAACAGTTATTTGTAAGTTGTGCAAGAAAGTTACAAAAATTAAAGACTTTAGGAATACTACCAACTTGATTTCTCATAATATGAAGAATAAACATCAGATTCAGCATAAGGATATTAGGGGTGAATCAAGTTCATATCATGAGTGTTCTTAAACTACTGAACTACTGCGTTCTGCTTCCACGCCTGCCGATTCCAATTCAACATCAATAAAACGGCGTTTTCAGAAACTACAGCTTGGAAGGCCTAATGCATCGCTGACTAAGCAGCAACAAAAAAATCTTAAGCTGTAATCAAAATGATTTTTCAAGACTTATAACCTTTACAAAACTTGGAAAACAATGGTGTTATTAGTTTTTGACGGGCGGGTAACTAGAATGAAAAAAGTCATTCGAGTTTTATATTCATTCGAGTGGCACTAGAGTGATTAAGTCATCATTGGCGCGTGACTCGAGTGAAAAAATTTCACTCGAATCCCATCACTAACACAGACTAATATCATAGATTAATAGATATGTAGATTGTGATCAAGTTGAAGCTATTAACGGCTTATATTAGCTAGTGAATTGTGAGAAAGTGAACGTAAAAGTGAACTCCCGTAGATTGACTATGTTTTTGAAGGTTATAAAATTAATTATATTCTGCCTATTTAAAAATACATTAAATTCACTATAGAAAATGTATAAAAAAGATCCCGAAAAAAATGAAGACATGGTTTAAAGAACAAGCATGCAAGCCAAAAATCTTATTAAAAAAACAATCAATCATAAACATAGTGGTTATATTCTCCGATGATCCGTGATCCAAGTCGGATTAGTCTTCCTAACGTCTTCCTCTTAGGACAGTTACTACACTCTTTGTCTATAGGACAGTTCACGGAAGTATAGACAAACGATATTAACACTTAACAGCTTAGAATTCGTCCAAACAAAGCGAGCAGGTAGTAAAATAAAATTTTCAAGGGCGACAAATGTACTTACCTAATAAAGACATGCAATTTTTAAAAAAAACGATCTGCAAATAATTTTGTAATTTTGTAATGAAATGCCTACTTTTACACATTAACGGCTATAGCTCAGTAAGTAATGACATTAAGTACATGGTATGCTAATGTTTTAGAATCCTTATGATATAGGCAAACTTTTTAAAAAGGTTGGTCACACAGATGCTATAAGTTATTTTTTTCACCACAGGTGCTCAAACTTAGCAGTTAAATAAAGTAAAAAATTTAAACTTATGTTTAGTGCCGTCTTGTAAAATACTACCCATAGTAGTTGAAAACTTTTAAGGGTAATTTAGAAACATCATTATTAGGGAACACATTAAAAGAAAAAAATCCGATCTAGGCATTAAACTGCGGACCACAAATGTGAGCAGAAGTACGAATTTTCGGAATTTTATAAAACATGGCGTAGACCGCGAACCGTTCGGGATAGAATTTTTTTTAGGGAATCGTGGCCACCTCTCCCCCGCCCGAACACGTACGTACCAGATTATCCACCATTACTGGGACAACCTGTATATATATATATATATATATATATATATATATATATATATATATATATATATATATATATATATATATATATATATATATATATATATATAATTATTTTAGGTAGTTTATTTATTAATCATTATAAATGCAAACACATATTACAAATAAATGCATAAACGCAACGTCGAAATTAATAATTTTACAGATAATTTCATAGTGAACGGCACACTCCACCAAAGTCAAGTGCGCAATTGTTACGTCTTGAAAAATATCAAATTCTTTCCATCTAAAATATAAACAAAAGTTGCCTAAATCAAATGTAATGTAATCAAACAAATCTAAGTCCTAAATATCATTTAAATCTGACAACTCTCACAACTACACAAACTTAAAAATTAGGCAATTTTAACCATTTAAGATTCGACCTTATTGTTAAGGATCTTATAATTATATTTCACTACGTGCACCGTTTTATGATAACTACCAAAACATCGCAACGAAATCCATATTCGCTTCATCTCTTTCATACGTATTTATGATACCGTCGCTAGAACGAGAAACAACGAATATCAAAGGACATCGGTTAGTTTTAGACCGTGTTGGCATATCGTTACAGGTTGCGTTTTACGTTCGTACGTTGGTTAGTTGGTTTTGGTTGGATATGTGATAACGGTTATGTACTTACAGATATAATATGATATTTGATAACATAACGTTATTAGGTACGTTTTGATATATCGGTCTCATGCCTAATAATTATATTGAAAACTGTCAAATTTTGACAGTAGAAAATAGAAATATAAATTTTGTAAACCGGTTCAAGATATAGGTTTAGGTATAGTTCATTTTCTATTAAAATATATAAAATACTGAGAAATAATGGCAACGAAACAAAAAAATATTTTTACGCGAAGTAAACCACTTATTAATATTTACAGTGATGTTGGACACGACGGAAAAAAAGTAAGTATAGTGCGACAGCTTGTGAACTTTTTCCGTTTAACTTTTTTTAGTTTCTAAATTTTCACTTACACAATAATTTTAGGTCGAAGTTCGTGAAGATGCAGAGCAAATAGTAAAATGGCATGAGATATGTGATGCACTGGTCGCTGCCGGCTATTATCGTGCGCAGTTGCAAGGACTCTCAGCATTTGATAAAATTGTGGGAGGTCTTACATGGTGTATTGAACTATGCGACATTGATGTAGACGTAAATCTGTTATTTGAAGAGAATTTAACAATCGGTAAAAAGATGTAAGTTATGCATTTATATTTTTCGAAACTAATTAAATTTTCCGTCTTTTGTGCCTAAGAGTTTGTCTAGATTCCACCCACGTACCTATTTTGCACCAATTACCAGCATCTATTGCTGCATTTCTATTTAAAGGCTAATTTACTGCCTGTGAGGTATATCATCTTAATTGTCAGAAGTGAGAATGTATCTGAGACTGTTTGTTTGTTGTAGTCGTTGATGGGCTTGAATGGTATAGTTCACATTAGGTAGACAGTTAGCTCATTTGTTACTAATGTTTGAAAAAAGTTGGGTACGACTTTCCATTGACGTCAGTGGAGTTTGGTGTTGATACGTATTTTTACAGAAAGATTACACTATTATAAGCACACACACAAAGTCTCAATATACGGAAACGCGTAATTTTTGAGAAAAGAATAATTGAAAATCAATTATTCTTGCAATGTTTATGTCTAATCTGCTAATAAACTGGTGCCATTTTGTAATGTCATTGTCGACGTCAATAGGGATGTCGATTCTTTCTGAAAAAGGTCGATTTTTAAATCAATTCAAATCGTAAGCTGATATATCGATTCCCAAAAAATCGATTTCTAAACTATTGATATTTTTTTCATGTTTGCATTTATAATGTAAATATAAATTCATTTTATGAGAAAAAAATCCCCTTCATCATAAAAAAATAAGGGGACTGATTCATAAGGATTTCTGTATCTATTTTGAGACTGCTACGTCTCCGGCGCTGCGGGAAGAGCAACCTCTACGCCTTAGCGTAACAAATCGCAGGCATCCCTCCTCGCCTCCGCATTGTTACAGCAGGCGGAGGCTGCTCCCCCTACGCGCCTCTGGCTCTATAAAACCACTCTAGGGGTAGGACAGACTCGTACCAGGTGGAGTCGGGGTCAATCAATTCGGTTCTTTGACATAAGTTGAACCTAACCTATTTTATTTGTTATCTGCCCTAATAGGTACTGTTAAATAAAACAAATTTCAATAAGAGATCATTTATCATGGTATCCTTTCTTGTTTTTCATAAAATGGGTTTATATTTACATTTACATTATAAATAGAAACATTAAAAAAATATAGATATTTTAGAAATCGATTTTTTGTGAACCGATACATCAGCTTACGATTTGAATCGATTTAAAAATCGACCTTTTTCGGAAAGAATCGACATCCCTATTGACGTCGACAATGACATTACAAAATGGCGCCAGTTTATTAGCAGATTAGATATAAACATTGCAAGAATAATTGATTTTCAATTATTCTTTTCTCAAAAATAACGCGTTTCCGTATATTGAGACTTTGTGTGTGTGCTTATAATAGTGTAATCTTTCTGTAAAAATACGTATCAACACCAAACTCCACTGACGTCAATGGAAAGCTAAGACAAAAGTTGTTACTCAGGTCACTGTAACCTTTTTTTTTTTTCTTTTTCTTCTTTTTTTTTAAAAAAAAAAAACGGTACCCCCACACTAGGATTTTCTCCTGTGTCGTGGAGGCAGTTTACAAACATAAATTGCACAAGGACAAACATCCAGACCCGGAACAATTATTTGTAGGCCATAGAAATACTTGTTCCGTGCGAGATTCGAACCCGCGGCCCCCAGCGCAACAACTGATTACTAAGCCACTACGCCATGGAGCCGTCAGCCTGTTCACCTTAGCCTGATATTTTATGTAAACATAACAACAATGTTTCTCAAATATTTTCCACTTTTCCATATTATAAAAATTATTATATATGTACTGTATAAACATAAACCACAATGTAATTATGTTAATTTAAACAATTTAATGTAATAATATCCTCCAAATTGTAATTTGACCATGGTGGCCAGTCTCATTAGCGATCTGTACAGAATAGAATTATAGTGCATGAGTGTTGCATAGGTGCACTCTCTATTTTCTTACTCTCAAAGTCTGATGGGACAGCAATCCACCACAACTGGTGACAAATCAGACAGGAATAATAGCTTCACATGCTTCTAAGGGACTTAAGTGAAACATCACCAATATCTGTTTTCTAGGCAATAAGAGTTTGTTTTTGCTAAGGAAGTGGTCTGGATCCGGGTAGTCTCGGGTATAAAGAGCCAGTTTAATAATGGACTGTGAGGCATGCCATCCAAGTCCTCAGAGGTGTCAATGCATTTATAACCTTCATTGCTAAAATTTGTTTGTAGGTGTTTGAATTTAGGTATATTTTTATAGTATGACAGGAAATCACTTCTCACTCTACTATTTATTATTTTAATCTAGTGGTGAATATTAATAGGTAAATAAAATAAAGCAATGGTACTTTGGACAGTAACTAAACGTAGCTGACTTTACCATTACACCATTAGTAGGCATGCAATTTCGTATACAAATTGTGCTCGGCGTAATATGTTTAATTTATTTTTAAGATTATTAACATTTTGTTATTATCTTATTTTTGAATACTTGTGTGTGCTCATTAAGATAAAAATAAAAGACTTATCTGTATGTACTGCTATTTGTCAAATCTATGGTTAGTCAATAATAAATTTTGAATGAGCAGGGATTGTTATCACAGGTTTCTCTTTCTTGTTAAATAAGCGAGGCAATTTTTAACACTCTTATCAGCTTGACATTTATGCTGAAATGTTATTGGTTGTTGGATGGCATTTGGAAAGGTGTACGTATGTAAAGACGAAGGAAAACCTGCTATAAGAATCGAAAAAGAAGACTTACATAAGTTAATTAAATGACTAACATTAAATTAAATTTTTATCTATATATCACATTTAAATAGCGTTTACACTATTTAAGTAATACAAACTCATAAGATCCTCATACCACGTCACAATCATACTATATCACACAAAACCCTTCTTCTTTGTTTGTTAAGCTGAAAGCACACTAATAAAAATACATTTGTATGCTACTTTTATGTATTTATCAACCAATAATACAAGAAATGAATAATTACAATCAAAAACACATAGTGATTATCCTCTATAGTATACATAAAATCGTTCATGAACTTAAATTGCAAATCACATACACTACTTTTACTACATTATTTTTAATTTTATTACATTTTTTAATAACATTTGAATTTAAACACACTTTTATTCACCGATATAATAAGCATAAAATTTTCAGAATTAAGAAACAAAATATTAATAATATAAATGCTGCTCTTCTATATCCTATATATCTTTAAATAATATTATCATCCTACATACAACTTTAAAAATAAGTATTTTTGAATACCTTATAAGGTATAAATTTTTGTGGTTTCTATGTTTTTATGTTGTATAGTTATTACCAATAACATTCAATAATCTTAAAAAAATAAATAATGACATAATTTGGCTGTAGCTAGTTCCTTTACACTCGATAATATAGAAGACTGTCAGTGTCCAATCCCCAACTCAAATTTTCCATTAAAAATATTACATCAAGATATAAGAAGTTAAATTCAAAATCGTCATCTTGGCTATTTATCTTTATCATTTATTTTAGCCACCGTTAAACTATAATATAGACAGGTTTATAACAACTTTAAATAATTGTTTAGAGCAATGTGCATCGTATGGTAATATTGTTATCATGGGAGATATAAACATTGATACTCGTAATGATTTCTTATATTTACGCGAACACTACACATTGAATAAAACTATTTTTACGGATTTTATTGCGTTTAATTAACTTATTTTATATATATTAATAATTAAAAAGCTGAAGGTACTCCGGGTTAACTTTGACATCGGGACGTCAATCACCTCAGTCCCCCGTGACCACGGTTGCTGAAAAGCAACCGAAACGTCGGGAATATAAAATAAGTTAATTAAACGCGATAAAATCCGTAAAAATAGTTTTATTCAATTGATACTCGTATTGCAGAATTTAATAATGGCAATCGATGTGAATCCTATCTCAATCTTTTGGCGTCTCATGGCCTTCTTCCAGCGCATAATCTACCGACACACTGCCACACCTGTCTTAATCACTTTTTAATAAAATCCAAAGGGAAGGCATATTGTTATGTTATAAAAACATCAATTACAGATCACTTTACTACTATCCTATACTTAGATACTCATTTAATAACTAGCTCAAGGCCCAAAACAATTAACAAAATAGATAATATTTATGATTACACTTCTTTAGCAAAAATGATTAAATATATTGATTCAAGTCCGATTTATAATAATTTTTGCAGCAAATTACTTAATCGATCCCTTAAGTAACATCATAAAAACCAAAACTAAAACTTAAAATTTCTAATCATAAACAAATCATAAGACCATGGATAACTCCAAGACTTTTAAAATGTATGAGGAATGAGGAATTTTTATGTAGTTTGTCCCTGACAAACTCCATAAAAAGTTTAAAAATAATATGGAAAATGAAGTCTTAAAAGTAACATATAAGAGATATAGCAATTACTGTAATAAGATATTGATGAGTCTTAAAGTGGAATACGAGAAAACTGAATTACAAAAGGCAAAACTAAATAATAAAAAATTATGGGAAATGGTCAAAATTATAACAAACACCAAAAAACAAATAGTTATAAATGGTGCAAACTCAATACATGCCGTAAACACTGCAAACTAGTTCTTTGTTAATATTGGCAAATCATTAGCTGAAAAAACTTATCCTCTACCAACAATTATAACTCTACTCCTTCTTCGTTTGTTCTCCTACGAACTACAGAATCCGAAGTACTAGATATAATTTCGAACTTAAAATTCGATTGCGTAGTAGTCTTTGATAATATATCAACAAGTTTTATAAAGACCTTCAAAAATATACTAGTCCCACCCATTACTTACATCTGTAATCTTTCCTCTACAACAGCTGTCTTTCCCCACGGCGTTTAAAAAATCACTGACCCATCCCATCTTCAAAGCTGGCGACAGAAACTGTGTCTGTAATTACAGGCCAATATCCATTCTTCCAACTTTGTCCAAAATCCTTGAGCGCCTTATGATCACCAGATTGACCTAGAAACAAACGGATTAAG